TATCCCGTGCTTAGTCTCAGGCCAAAGGTGAATTTCCATGGAAAGTTTGAGCAAAATTCAGCACTGTCATTTCTGAGTTATGGGAGCAAGAGTCAACACCCGCTTTTCCCATCTGTCCTGATTGAGAACGTTGGTGCTGGCATAACTCGGGCTCTGCTGAGGCTATTCATTTCAAAGGTAGCTTGTTTCTGTAGCGCTCGCTGGGGAACTTGGTGGTATGACCTATGCTCAGATTGGGATGACATTCAGCCTTTCGCTGGCAACCTTTACAAGGCTTCTGCCCCCCTTAAGCACTTATTTTGAAGACTTAATGGAAATGGGAGAATTGCATAGTCCTTACACTCTCTACACAGAGGAGACTGTCATCCCCGGGTGACTTTCCTATTGGCATCCATAGCAAACGCTGGTTCTTAACTATCCAACAACCCACACCAAAAAGCCAAAGATATTCCAAATGTTTCTGTTTATTTTCAGCATTTGGCAATTACAAATCTTGGGGTGATAAACCAGCTCTCCCCCTACAACCCTACCATTCTTCCAGTGCAGGCACTGAAGGGAGGTCAGATCAAATGAATGTGACATTGGAGTTGCAAAGTCATTGAGAAAGAAGAAAGTGGTGAAGCGGTCCCTGCAGGATGACTGCAGCTGCAGGTGCAGTTGCATGGAAGTAGGACAAAGCCGCAGATCCAAGTGCCCAAGTCTGGGAGCAGATATTCACGTTTTTATAAACGCCCTGCTGTCCCTAATAAGGTAAGCCAGCAGATCAGAGTGCTGGCACTGCTCCAGAGTTGAACTAGGATTTTGTGCCTCTGACCTATCACACCATCAAGCGCCAGTTCATGCTCTGCAGTGCAGCAGGGAAGTTCAAAACAATACTGATTTTGCTTCTTTGTAAGTCGGAGAATCGGGAGCTTGTGCAGAACGCTGGACCCCCCACCCTGCGCGAGGACGCCCTGTGCAATTTCCAATCAGGGCATGTCTGAAGTCTTGGCAGTTTCTGACGTTCTAAGAAGAGAAGGGCCTGTTTGGTCTTTGAAATATTTTAATGTGGAAAGCATGTCTTTAAAACCGGTCGCAGGGCTACAGTTTCACTGCCGCATACAGGGTTTCACTGTCTGTATTCCAGAAAAGCACCCAAAACTTCATGTATGCTTTTTATTATTGCCCGAAGTGTCAGATTCACATCAGTTCTTCCATATGGGAAATGTTCAGTGGGATTGTTTGCTTGATCTAGCGATATGGATCCTGTTATTACATTGGTGATCAAAGGAGACCTGTTAGGCTTACTCATATCAGAGTTACTTGACTGAGACGTAGGACCCACACCTTTAAAACACTTTCCTTGTTGACAAGAAGCGGATCGAGTCAGTGGCTGTTATTATTTTTTTTCACAACAGGGATCTGTATTTCCATACTTGAGTCATGAGTAAAAGGTGATAGTTGTTTCAAAATGCGACTGTGCTGTGAGTGTTGTGGCATAAAACACTCCCCCAGCAATGGTTTTCATATGTGCCAGTGCCGTCCTGGGGTGATCAGCACTTCTCGGGATTGGTCCCTTGGGCCCTGATCCAAAGCCCTGCAAAGCCAATTCAAGTCCCCTGCTGGCGTCAGTGGACTGGGGGTCAGGTTGCACCACTTTCCTACCATTCCAGGTGCAGGCCTGTTGTTCCTTCATTAGTGCTGGTTTGCTTGATGAGCTGATGATGAAGGGCCTGCAGTGAGCTGAGCTGCTGCAGAAATCAAAAGCTGAGGATGTTCCCATAAAAGCAGCACATGAATAGAGACTCTGCTCTTGCGTGACATGTGATGCTCCAAGCCAGAAGTGACAAGTGACAGGAAGTCTCCGTGGTCCCGGGTGTGCAAAATAGACTTGTGAATCCCGCTGGCTAAGTTTTTTTAGCTCCTAAGTTGCTGTTCTGCAAGCTGGGGCCCATTGTTCCCCTTGGCTTAAATGTTCAAAAGTGACTCAGGATTTTGGTGCCTTCTTTTTTGGGGGTGCTCTATTTGGGACCCCCACAAGGAAACTTGATTTTTAAAAAGCAGGTGCTCAGCACTGGCTGGAAAAAACCCAAAAAACCAGGCTCATTTAAGACCCCCATAGTTACCAGACACTTGTGAAAATGTTACGCTTTGCCTCTGTTTCCCTGGTACGGGGATAGGAGCCTATTAGACTGTGTAAGTCCCGATATAAGGACTTCTCTTAAGGTCTGGTAAAGTGTGATCATTAAAAACATCAGCAGCATAACACACATCTATGTTTAAATGTTTTCTGTGTTAACTAGTAACATCCTCACGGTATTTTCAACTGAGGCTAAGAGAGTTAGTTACCCAGCTCCCATTAAATCTCAGTGGCGTTTGGCTTTTAAAGTACCATGGGGGCCTCTGACAATCCCAACCTGAGATTATTAAAAGGCAAAAAGTTAAAAAAACCCAACTGTGTTTCACTTTGTAGTCCAATTAACACGTGTAACACAATAATGAAGCCATCCCTATTACAGCAAGACACTCCACTGCCTGTTCTCCTCTCCCTAGGAGAGGATGAAAAAACAGACATGTGACAAAATGTGACCCCACATTTGCCACCAAGAAGGAGTGTTTTCCCCAGGTCAGTTTGGCAAGGACTTTGGGGGTTTCTGCCTGCCTTTGTAGCCGGAAGTGTAGCCATCTTCCTAAGATCATCTGACCATGCATAAACCTAGTAACTTCCCCACCATTGCAGTGAAAGGGCGCTGATAGTGTCCTTGTCTCCGCTGCTTTTTGCCACTGGCTTGTTGTAGGGTCTGTTTTGTTTGGAACATGCACTTTTGGGCCGTGGCATGTGTCAGGGGCTGTAGATGAATTTTCGGACTCTGGAAATAAACGGCTGCCTGAGAAGGCAGAGAGCTGGACTCAGGAGCCAAAGAGGCCCCTTCAGCCTTATTGTTCGTGTGCTTCAAAGGTTGGTGCACAGCTGAAGAGGCTTGGTAGCGCAGTGACGAATGCAGTATGAGACCCCATGCAGAACAGAGCAGCCCTCTGCGGTATTGATTTGAAGTTTCCTTTACTCGCATCAGGTAGCTCGGCAAGTAAAAGCCAATTGCTCCGTTTCACTTTCTGTTTGCAATCCATTTTCACTTTCTGGTTCCATGCACCAGCCCCAGGCTGTCACGTTTGGGATGGAAGAGGAGGGGACGTTGGCATCGACATTTTTTTCAAAAAGCGAAAATTTTTTAACTGTCTTTGCCCCCTTTTTGTGACAGTCTTTGATGAGGAAATCCAGAGAGATTGCTCAGCTCCCACTGATTTCCTGAATTTGGAGCCTGGAGCTACTTGCTGGTGTCCCTGGAGACCCATGAAGCTTGAGTTGAATCGTGATTCGAAAGAATGTGTGTAGGGCTGTAATTTGGCAGTGAGCGCTGCTGCTGCAGTCACACTCCATCAGAGGCATTCAGCGAACTCCCAACCCCGACCCACTTGTGGCGTGTGGGGAATTCCACGCGCCTGGGCTGCCGAATGCAGATCTACGTGAGACGAGACGAGCACGTGCAGGATAACGGGTTGCAGACCAGAAGAGAGGAAGTGCAGGGACTTTCATGCAACTTCCATCGTAAGCTGTAACAGCGTTTGCTCTGTGCAGATGTTTGCGTGTGGTGAAGGGAGTGAGGATGAAAAGCTCAGATCTGGGTCTTTCAGACCCAACAGTATCCGTTCTTTAAAAGCCAGCTGATGCTGTGTATTAGTTCCTCTATGTGATGCGATATAGTTGCCTCTACTGTTGTGCAGCTGTGGTTTGTTAGGAGTGAGAGCTGTGAGTCATGAACCCGGGGATCTATTCCTGGCCATGCTGCTAACTCCTTGTGGTACCTTAATGTCTCTGTCACCCCTCTTTCCCCTTATAGAAGGGGATGACATACACCCACCTTGCAAAACATTTGGAGCTCTTGTGATGACAGGTGCCAAGTGTATTATGTGGGCACATATACGTCAGTTAGAGAGCGAGCAGAGTCTGGGGGCCAGAGCCAGAGTGCAGTTACATTGGTGTACGTTTGGAGTAAGTCTCGCTTCCTTGGAGTGCCTCCAGGTTTATATGGGTGTAGCTGAGACTGGAATCCAGCCCAGGGAGAGTGAAAACATCCAATGATGATTAATTCAGCAAAATGTGAAAGTTGTGTGTCAAGCGTGTTTCATGCTTCGCTTGCCCCAGGCTGATTAGCATCAATTAAATAATTATGGCCCCGCTCTCGCAGCTGAGGAGCACGGTGTTCTTTACAGACGCTGCGACTGTTGCAGTACTTCCATGAGGTGGGCGAGTGTTTGCCCCCCATTTTACAGATGAGGAGACTGAGGAAGAGAGAGCAGTGGAGGCACATGCCCACAGAGTGACTATGAACAGAGCCATCTCTCTTGAATCCTGTCCTGGTGGCTGAAGCCCGAGACCCTCCTACTTTCTCCAGCATCAGTCTGATCAGGGCGCAGTTGGGTTGGCTGAGAGTGTGGGTAGCTGGACTGAGAAGTACCTTCCTGTCTTCACTGCGATGAGCAAACGCTGTAAAGCTATTTTGAATTCAACTTTTCCTGTGCTCATTTCCCAGTTGTCTAACAATGGTGCCAATACATGGCATTTTCAACCACGTGCATGTGTGTTGGCTTCTTTTTCCCAATGATTTAAGAGAGGTGGCAGGGCCGTGGAGGGGGCAGCGGGAGATCTTTGTTCTGGTTCCCTCCTGCTACTGACCTGCAGCCTGTCGCAGACTAAGTCACTTCCCCGCACCTCGCCTCCATTTCCTCTCCCAGCCTTTTTGCGCCTTGTCTCGTGAAACTCTACCTTTGGGACCGGTGCTTATTACATGTGTGTCCAGTGCCTGCAGCAATGGGGTTTCGATCTCGGTCAGGTCTTCCCTGTGCTGTCCCGCTAGAAATAACAGTGACAACTGCGGGTGTTTGCATTCTTCCTTCATGTTGACATGGCTCTCTGGTCAAAGGTGGCTGCTTAGAGATCACATTCTCTTATGATGTTTCAGGACACAGACAAAAACTAGAGGACCAAGCCAAATCCTACTCTGATCGCTACAGTGAGCTGGATCGTCTGCGCCAGTCTATGAGAGTCACCCCAGCAGCTCCCAACCCCCGCGGATCCTTGAGTGCCCCAGGTCACTTCGGGTCGCAGGCTCAGACTCCAATGCAAGGTACCGGTTTGGTTCATTCACATGCGCCTCGTTCTACACTTGAATCTCTTAGGCTGATCCAAACAGTATGGCCCAGGGTTCGGAGGAAGCGCTCCTTGAGCCATGCCAGAAAGGTGGTGTTCTCCTCCCTGACTTTGCCAGCATGTGTTAAGTCTGCCCTACGTGGGGATAAGGCCCCCATGGCCGAAGGTTTCAGCTTCTCATTGGGGTTGGAGTGATGTCAGGAGTGGTCATCCAGGAAGGAGCCCTGTGCTGGTGAAGGCAAAGTGCCACACTGACAGGTGTGTGGGAGCTGCCCCCCACTCCAGACCCTGGGGTCCCTTTGCCTCTCCTGGTGGGAATTCCCATGAAATGAGAGCGGAGCACAGGGCTGGGGCCAGAAGCCTAAAACTCAACAGATTTACTCATTGTGCTCATTAGTATCACATACGCGGCCCTGAGGAAGGTGGATTTACCCACTTCAGGCACCAGATCCATGAGGTGAGGGGAGAGGAGGGATCTAGCTCTACTGACTTTAAATTCAGAAGCCACTTGAACACGTATGCACTTGTGCAGGTAGGCTGCTAGACATGGCCCAGAAAGGGCGTGTTACACACTCCATAGCTCTCAGAACTGTTTCTTCTCTGCTAGCACAGTCTCATGCCAGATCTGATCTCTCACCTCACCAAACGGTGATAATCCCTTACGCACATGTGCACGGACACACAGACTAAAGTTAGTCCCAAATCAGTCCATACCCACAGTGTTACTATGCAGTAAGGCGTCTACACGTGTGTTACTGCGCAGTAACTAATCGGGCATAAGTTTGATACCTGCATGATGCAGGTATCAAATTTACACTCAAGTTGGCATAAGTCACCATATTTACTGTGCAGTATGAGTGTGCACGTGTAGACTCATGGCCATACTGCACAGTAATTTTGGTTACTGCACAGTAAATGCATATGCGTAGACATGCCCATGAAGTACAAAAGGTTGGGAAGGGTTAGAAATTAAGTCATTTTTTGCTAAAATTGTCTGGTTCTTTTTTTTCATTAAAATTTGGGTGAAAATTGTAAGAGAACAGAATTTGTTGGGTAAGGTTACCATTTTCAGCTGTACCTAAATTACATTAGGCTTAAATGTCATTAACTGTCAATAAGACTTAACCCTAAGTCACTTAAAACTTTTCGACAGTTTTACCACAGCTCCACACCCACCCAGAGGTAAATCGGAGTGACATTTTTTTCATGGCCGTTCAGTTTTGTACCAGCTCTAGTTGGACTTCTCTTTAAGAACGGTGGATCCTGTTAAAAGGATGCAGTCAGCCAGCAATAGGACTATTGACTGAGGGTTTTTAAAAGAGGGGGAAAGGCTTTATAGACCGATTATACACAATGGTCTTTCATGATTGAAAAAAATCCACTGTAAATGTTTTTTGAAACAGCCCATTCTCCTGCAGTGCTGAGAGCCCAACGGTAGCAGTTTCGGGCAAAGACCTGAGATCAGATAGCAGCACTGACTCAGAACCAAAGTGGAAGCATCTGGGCTAATTTCACTGCTTGAAGAGCAAAACATCAAGCCAGAGCAGTGGGAGTGAAAAGGGAGCAAAGTGCTCAAAAATCTTTCTTTTCTCATACTCTAACATTGGAAGGAACTTAGATTAAAGCGTCGTGGGGCAAATCCTGTGCATAGTTACACGGCTTTAAATTTGGAGCAATCCTGTTACGGTTAATGGACCTGCATGTGCTTCATCACTGTAATGGTGACAGTGTCCTTCTGCCAGCATGCTCCATAACCAATAGTAATACTAAGCCTCTCTCTCGTACACACACAGGTTATTCACAAAGACCATAATTTTTATACAGGCAATTGGAGCTCACCCCAGGCCAAGAATAACAGAGGAGTTAACAGGCTTGTAGTTTTTCTCACGTCTTGGCACATTCTTAGGTAACGCATAGGAGGACCACTGAAGCAGACCGAGCTGACCCAGGTTGGGAGGGACAAGAGGGGCATGCCGGACTCTGTCTAAAGCACTTCCGCAGCCTCCGTTACCCTTGCAGCCCTGCAACACCCTGGCAAGGTGCTCGAGGTGCCACTGGAAGTCAAGGGAGGAACTGGGTTTCTGGCTGAAGGTCTGACTTCCTATGGGCATCAAATAGGACTGAATGGTTCTCAGTTTAGAGTGTCAACTGTTCATGGCCTGACGGGTGTTCTTAATGTTTCAGGCTTTGTGCCCAGCAGTTGTGCGAGACGGTTTAGTTTGCAAAGTTTTTCAGAACAGGTTAGACAAGTAGTTGTCTGGGGCAATTCAGAAAGGGGGTTAGCCTAAATGACCTTCTGCAGGTGCTTCCAGTCCTACCTTTCTGAAGACTAGTGCGTGGCCCAGTCCTAGCACACACGACAGCTGTGCAGCCTGCCCTCCCAAAACCAAGTGGGGACAGACATGGACTGTAGGAGCAGCAGACAGCTGCAACCCAAGCTGCCCTCCACATAATCCCTTCAGTTCATCACTCCTGTTTTGAGTTGCAAAAGCAGGGATTAATGCTCCAGGTAGGCAGCTGTTGTAGACAAGAACATGACTGCGTGCGTCTAGGCTCCGCCCCCACTTCCTGTGGCCACACCCAGTCCCACCTCGGTAGGTCGGCGGAATGACTCAGGCGGGGAGAAGAAAGCCGGTTGACGAGGGCGGCACCTTGCCCTCGAGGGTGGAGGCTTGTGACTAGAAGTAGGTGACATTTTTTGGCGGAAACAGCTTTTGGGCAAAAAAAAGGCGATTTGGTGGTGCTGGTATGTGGCACCCATTGGTTTGGGGTTTGCCAGTGGGTTGTGTCAACCTCCCCTCCCCCCCATCACCTGAAACTGGGCAAAATGTTTCATCTTCACGTTTGCCAAGCAGAGACCTCCTCTCATTTTCCTTCTACAATAATTTAAAAAACCCAAACCACTTGCAAGCCACTGCGTGCTGCAGGCACACGGGCACCTCGTGCTGCTGTTTCTGGCCGCGGCCTCCCTAGCCTCGGCTGGCGGTGCTCCTGCCTGTCGAGCTCTGGGACAGGCGTTGGGAGCAGAGCTGCAAGCTCCGGCAAAGGAGAGAAACACGGAGCCTGATGCCAGAGCAGAAAGGCCTTGTCTTCGGCAGAGCCCTGGCTCTCCCTGTCTGACCCAGCGGTGTGGGAGAATCACGAAGGCGATGCTGTTGGCTTCTAATAGGCATGAGCTGGGGCTGGCAATGTTTTCAAGGAGGGAAATGGTAACCCAATGTGGCTTTGGGTCATGGTGGGGAACATGCCCCCCAGCCCCCTCTCCTACTGCTTTGGCTCCCCCAGCCATTTCTGCCCAGGGTCAGTGCACTGTGCTCCGGCTGATCCCGGGAGGCCCTGCGTTGACCTAGGGTAGCAATCCTTTCTGCTGCAGGAAATTGCTGTGTGTGAACCAGGCACTCTGCTAGGCTCTGGGGGGTATATGTAGCACACCCAGGCTCTTGCTCATGGCTCAGCTTTTGTGTCCGCCCTTGTGGATGCTTTTTCCTCAGTTCCCATATCTGGCTCAAGCCAACACGTATCCAGCTCCAGCCCCAGTCCTGGCAACTAACCCTCCTCTCCCCCAGCCCTTCCCACCACCGTAACACCTTCTCCCAGCTGCAGCCTGCCCAGAGTACAGTTGTGCTGGGCCAGGTCCTGCTCTTCTTGGTTCTCCTGCTAGGAACCAGGAGTGTCTACAGCTGAGGTCCGAGGAGTGGCTTTGCAGTTATGTTGGTGTAAAAGGGAGCAGCACTTGGCTCTCTGCCATCGGCATGAGGCTTTCACTGAGGCGGGTCCTGGAGTTTATAAATAGCCCCATGTAAAACGTTCTTTTTGAGGTTAAATGGCCTCAAACTGAAAAACTCCCTGTAAGAGAAAACTCAGTCATTTCTGACGGGAAGCTTAGAAAGAAAGTTTTCCCAACACCATGGCCAAGGGGGTCAGGTTCTCCTCTCATCCTGGGACCAGTTGTTATAGCACCATTGCTTTCAGCTGGCTTAGTCCTGATATACATCCTTGCAAGTGGAAAAGACAATTGCACCCCTTGCATATCAGCTTGAAACCGCAGCGCGTTCATGTTCCCAGGTCCAGGTCTGCTGTTGCACCGGGCTGGTGGAAGTGCTACATGAGACAAAGGAGTTGGGTACGATTTACCCTCTTGTGTCACTGAAGCCACAATCCAGCCTTGCAGCCTGACGCAGGAGGTGCCAGAGCTACCAGGGCTGCACCATCTGCTTCCACAGCGCTGGGCTCAGACCACTGGGGCCTCTGGCCCCATATTTCTGCAGCAATCCCGGAAAAGCTGAGATTTAAAAATCCTGGCTCCCCCGTCCTGAGCGCAGAACGCCAAACTGTCATTAGATCAGCTTGAAATTGTGCCTTGTGACAGGGCCTGCACGGGCAGGGCTCCACGGGTTTTCCCTGCTCTGCCAAGTTTCCCATCTTTGTTTCTTTCCTTTCTCTTTCCCTTGCTAGGTTCTTGCTTTGAGGGTTTTGTCTCTTGGCTAAAATAGTTGAGCAGGCTCCAGAAATGAAAGGAGATGTTGAAGGAACTCATTCCCAACTGCCTGAAGCTGCTTGGGGTCACGTGGCTCAGCGAAGGCTGCTGGAGTGGTAGTAAACCCACGTGCTCCAGGGGAAATCCAATTGTCCTAACAGCTGGCTAACTCTCTGTGGGCTTTGATTGACTTCTTCTTTGCTTCGCTCTTGCTTGCTTGCTATCTCTTTCTTTTTTTCCTTCAAATCACCAGAGTCAGGGCCAAATACGGCTGAAGACACAAGAGTATTGTTGCAGTGACTTTACTGTGGCGGGAGCGGGGCCCAAGGATACGGCACATCCCAGTGTTGCAGCCACGGTCCATAACATGCTGCGGACATCGGGTCAGTGGGCCCCTACTTGAGGTTTTCTCCTGGGGATAGAAATTCCTCCAGTGCAGCGGTCCTCGACCTTTTTGGGATAGAGGTACCCCCTCGCTGGGCTTGACTGTTGTGAACCGA